TTGAAGGGCTGAAAAATTCCCTTCAGTTATTTGCACGTAAACATAAAATGTGGTAATGCAGTTCTTTATCTACAGCAAGCTATTTTTAGTAGACTACGAAAATCTGTCTCCCTTTCTTCAAATGCTGTTTAACCATCTTTGTAGTTATATTGTCCTTCTAGGACCACAAGGACCCAATAAACGCACACAATATTGCAGGTGATGTCCTGCTCCAATAAGGAGGCATAGCTCTACCTCCCTCCACACTTTGGCAAAAGAAATGTTTCTTCAAGGGCATCACTGTTTCTCTCTTCTCCGTCTTCACCTCAGTAGTTTTAGGAGCCTGAAGCTCCTAAAGCTTTAGTGTCCCATAAACGCTGCTGCTACAGGCTCTGCAGCTCTGCTCCAGGTGCTCTGTGGGTGTATAAGGCCCTCGCCCTACCCTCACCACCCCTTTCAAGTGTTCACAGAATCACAGAATATTCAAGGYTGGAAGGGACCTCTAGAGATCATGTAGTCCAACCTTCCCGCTCAAGCAGGCACACCTAGAGCATGTGGCACAGGGCGGCATCCAGGCGGATTTGGAAGACCTCCAGAGAAGGAGACTCCACAGCCTCCCTGGGCAGCCTGTTCCTGTCTCTCCTCAGCATATGCAGCCTGCCCTTCTGTCTTCCTCCTCCTCTCCATACTGCTCCCCAACATCGCTGTTCCACATCTTCTCTGCACACTTTTCATCGTGGCCATACAACCTGTGTTGCCTCCTGCCCAGGACCATAAGCAGTCAAGGAACTGGCATTTATGAAGAAGAGGAGCAAGGCAGCCCCATTCGCCAGGGCTGGCATGTGCTAACATGTACACAAATGTCAAATGTACACAAAGACMTGCTTCACTCCTCCGCGTGGCACAGGGCAGCACAACTAACCCCCTTCCTTAACACTTGTCAGAGGTGTTGGCAAAGACCCATTTGGCAGTCAGGAAGGAAGGAAGGTCTTCATGTCTCCTCTTAGCACTCTCTGCATCCTATCTCTAGCTTGGATTTTTCCTCCTCTCCAATGACAAGCACATTAACTGTTGTGAAACATGAGTCCTATCTGCAGGCTGCAGGGGGAAGGCGAGGTAAATGGGCAGCATAAGAACAGTTAGACAGGAGGGAAAACAGCTGTCACCAAATAGCCTCCAAGTCATTGCTGTGTAGCTACCACTTGCTTCTTCAGAGTATCACATATATCTTCAGCTTTGCCTTGCCAAAGCCCAGGAGTGGAGAGGAATTTAGCAAGAGCCACCATGTGTTACACATTCCTGCTCTAGAGAGCTTCCAAGGTGCTGCTTTAGCTAGAAGATGCAATGGGAACTTCCCCCTACAAGGGTAGCCTGGGAGTTTGTCAGGCAGCGGATGCAGATCTAGGAAGAAAGCAGCACTTTAGAAGGCTAAAACGAGCATGYCTAGACCAAGATATTCTGAAAGTGATTCTACTGTCACCTTTTATGAAAATTGGCAGAAGTCACCCACCCTGGCTGCTCTGCTCTGCCATATGTCCCATCTCCAATGGCACTACAAACATGCTGGGAAAAAAATCTTCCTGTGCTAAATGCTTCAAGCACAGATCTAGAAGGATTTAAGTGCTATAGGAGCTGATCTGATTCACACCTGATACAATTTTCTTACAATAATTTAAATATAAATATGGTATCATGATCACGTAGGACATCTACCCCAGCAAGATCAGTGCTGCACCACTGAATGACCACAGAAACACACCTGTGTAAACCCACAACTCAGTAGTAGAGTAGGACCAGGTTTTTGGCTACTTAGCCAAATGTAAGGATCAGTTTTCCCATCTTACAAGACATACTCACAGATTCACGTATAGACCTGCTGTGCGCTATGACAAAGCCAATGTCACTCATGGTCTTTTATAAAGAAACTAAGGCAAAGAGACCCACCTTCCAGAACTAGAGAACTTCCTATGAAAGAACAGAGTTCAAATGGGACAGAACAGTCCAACTCAAGCACCTGCTCAAATGAAAAGCTTGAACCTCAGTATACGTGTCACTTAAACCAAGTCAGCACTAAATCAACTTCAGTTAGGCCWATTTTCTCTCTCACCAAAATGAGAATTCTAGACTGGATTGTGACTTGCTTCCGGTTCAAGGTGGTACATTATTACCATCAGAGAACTTCATTTTCAATTAAATTCCTTTTTTTTTTTTGACCAAACTCAAAGTACTGTCACTTAGAAATGTCCAGCCAATTCTACATACAAATCTGTTGTGCGGCCTGCTTATCTCAGTGTTTCTGTGAGAGCTGACAGTTGCTGAAATATAGCCACTAGAATTGCTAGTGTTGACAAGGCTTTAAAGCATCGTCACACTGAGTAGCCATTAGAGGTTATATTTCATTGGAAGTAATGTAATTCAATTACCATCACTCTTCAGTCTGTTCCATCTCTATGGCTRACAATATGCCATATCATCCATCAGATTTCAACCTGAACTTTGCATTCTGGCCCTATAGATTGCCAGTTCTGCACTATAAATGGCTTCATGTTTTTAGGCTCATTTCTTCAGGATAAGAGGTCATACAATTATTTTGTGCTTCTGTCTGCCTGCGAGGCAGGCAGTTAAGGCTTCCTTAACTTTTCAAACAGATTCAATCAAGAGGCAAAGGTCTTCAAGAAAATTAAGTTCCTATCAATTTTGTGACTAATCAGGGGCAGTGTAAGGCAAAGAAATCACTTGCACATTCTGCTTGGCTGTGCTGAGCTGGGCAGCCAGTGAGCACAGACAGCTAAAGCTCTCTTTTTCTCAGTACAAATGCAAAAGGCTGGGGAATTTGGGGTACAGCAGGGAGACCGTAAGGAGAGACCCATGTCTCAGGCTGTGAGACATGAGCCCTTAGGAGAGCAAGCTYCCCTAGTACAGCTGCTGCTCATGGAACAACTCTTCACTATCACAGTGGGCTGGGTAATTCACAGAGAATTTCTGGTGCATATTTCTTTGGTAAAGAACGTTTTCAGCAATTCACTTTGGCAGTCAAGCATTTTACAAACTCAAAAATTGCAGAGAAAAAAATGATCTACCATTTACTGTCCCAAGTCYATGTATTTAAGGTCTAGTGATAACTAGTCATTTCTACACTTCTTTCTGTTTCTGGATATCCAACGTTTAGAATAACTTAACCAATTCACCAACTACAAATTTATCAGCTTAAATGATTCCTTTTATTACTGATTTYCAACATTACTGATTCATATTACTGTTGGTTTTCTCATGCTTTGCTGCCTAACCAAACCATAAAACTAGTTTATACTATAGATCTGTGGCACAAAAACTGTTACTTATGATGCAGTATTTTCTATCTATAGGCAGCTTGTTTCCATCTGTCATTGCATTCGGTCTCTTCCTCCTTGCCCCTGCACTTTTCCAACTTTCTCCTCCTCCATACTGCCATTTACACTAAATCCCTTTCCTTTCACCTTTCCCACTCCCTGGTCCCATGAACCTTTACATCTCCCTGCTTTCTCCTTGTCCACATGTCCTGTGTCCAAGCCTTGCCCCTCATCCTACCACCTCCTGTTCTGCCTCCCCGATATGGCACCATTCACTAAGCCCTTCTGCACTTCCACCCTTCACTGGCCCTTCTCCCAGAGGACCATCGCCTTGACCGCTCTACTGTCCCCCTCTAACATGAGAGGTTGTTAAGCAGGGATCAGCGAACCTCGGTATCCTGCTGAGAACACTTCTGCTAGACCCTGATGTTTTAAGATCTCTTCCACAAATGGAGTATGGGAAAGCAGAATTTCCTTCTGTCTCTTTCTCTTTTCACCCCTCATCCTCAGCTCACACATCTCCTCTCATTCTAGCTGTTGTCCCACTCAATTCCCTCCCCACCCTTTTCCCAGTCTCCCCTCTGGCTCAGCTATCTTCAGCTCTACACAGTCACACTTGTTGTCACTTTAGCTTCTTTTTGAGTGCCTTTCTGCAATGCCCACCCCAGCAGACCCCCCACCAGCCTCTGGTCARTCACTGGATCAAGTCACTACGAACCTCAGTGAAGCTAATGAACCCCAGTGAATATACAGCCTGTTCTTGTTTTAGGTATTTAACCTTCCTTCAGACCTCCAATCCTCTTCTTCAAAATAAGGTATCTCTGTAGTCCAGATAGCCTTGTCAGTCTGGGAGGCTGGCACTTGACTGAGACAAGTGATTGCCTTCCATCCTCTGGGGAGTTACCTACTCGATTTCGGATAAACCCTGGGCATGTTCTGAGCACAGTGTGAACCCCAGGAGCTGCCAGAGGTCTCCAAATCCCTGAAAGGGCCATGTCCCACACAGGGACATCCAAGCAGGGATAGCAAGGTGGAGGTCACTAAGAGAGCCTTGAATTGCCAAGGACCCATCAGCTGCAGGGAGGGTTGTTCGCTGCTTAAACTCCCGCATCAGAAATCCCCATTTTTACTTCTTTCTTAAACTGCTCCCCACCACTGCAGCCATCCCCACAGGCAGCAACAGCTAAACTGCCAGGACACGATYACCAGCCCTCTTGCCCTCACTCCTGTGCTCTTCATAGCTTTGGGCTGTTTGCATTTCTTGTTTTCTCACCCTCGTCTACTACCTTTACTTCCCCTGCCATTTGCTACTGCAAATTCCAAGAAGCGCTCTGCTTACTAACAAAAAGCAGTGACTTTGTCTCCTTTTAGTTTCTCCAAAATGATACTTTTACAGATATTACAGTACACCTTTTAGTCTTCAGCAACCAGCTATGGCCATTGATCTCTGCTGCTTGTATCTAAAACTGTGGTCAGGATCCACTATCTCTCATTCCTGAGTTTGTCACCCATTACTGCTCCTTTGTTTATTATACCAGAGGAGAAAATCTTGTTCCTAATTATACCAGAAAATATTTAAAGCAGAAATAGCATTTATACAGCACCTAGCACAATAAGGGCTCATAGGAGCTATACAGTATTTTCATTATAGAAGACAAAGATTGCAGTTTTKGGGGGCAGCTAGGAACTTACCGAGCCGTACAGTTCCCCTTTCTCATTCATTCCAAGGTAGAGTCCACTGTCTACTCCTCGAATGCTGACCAGGCCCACTGCTATACTGATAAATTCCAGTATACCTACAAAATACAAAGGAAAAAACAATGTACAGGTTGCCTCCATTTAGAGATTCTTCTCAGATGCGACTGCTCCCTGAGTGACAAGCAGCTGCTTCAAAGGAGTCTTTCCATTTTCAGAGCTGCTTTGAGAAAGCTGAGGAACAAATGAGTGTATTTTGAGCTGTGGGTCTTGAAGGAGTAAGTCCTTTGAGTGTCTACCACAATGATGCAGTGCAAAGAGAATTAAGGTAACAAAGCAAAAGATTAGTCTCCATCTTTCTCGGCATTTTTTAAACACAAATCTAAAGCTCAGGCGTATTGCAACACATTTGCCRGCATTCCAATTTGCACAACAAACAATATATTCAAAGAAGCAAATCAGGTATTCAGGCAACCAAAGTTACCATGATTAAAGATTTGGTTTGCAAAATGAATTCCTAGAAATACATTTGAATCGGAACTGCAAGCTGAAAATAAAGTGTTACACACAGAGCTAAAAGATCTGTTTCAAGCAATCAATGAATCAGGAAAAAAGAGAAAGAGTTTTACGCACAATCTCACAGAGCTAAAAGATCTGTTTCAAGCAATCAATGAATCAGGAAAAAAGAGAAAGAGTTTTACGCACAATCTGATCTTCCAGAGGCTCCAGAAATGAAAATCTGTAGTACAATTCAGTCTCACACATATTCATCTAGGTATTAATCATTCTGACTCCCTGGAGTGTTTTTATTCATGCAAATCTGAAAATTAAAATATTCTCCTCYTAAATAGTAGTGTATAAATGATTAATTCTCCCTACACTACTTTCTGAGCTACATAATGAAACAGAAAGTAGTATTTTCAATATATTTTTTGAATTTTATGTCTAAGTGCACTACATAACCATTTTAAAGCTTGTTGRAGATTGTATTTACATGATACAATACAATACAGTATGAGTTGAACCTCACGTGGCCAATAAAAAAGCACTTCCATGGATTTTTTTTAACAATTAATTTGGCATCTCTCGGAAAATAGTTGTGCGCTAATCAATAACAGGCATGAATCACATAAATCTAACAAAGCACGACTTGAAGCCAATAGGGAAAATTTATAGCCCAGCTAATGTAAAGATGAAATGTATTCCCTGTAAGGGACTATTGATCATTACCTTATATATTATTCAGTACTACAGACACCATATTCTTAGTGTTTTGATAACCCTGTTTCATGGCCGAGGCATTTTGAATTATTCTCTACATACGTGCAAGGAAAATGGCTTCACAAATACTGGTAGGTAATATTTAGTAATCATGGAATTTTTTTGAAGTAATAAAAAGTGGTAGTATGTTGCTTATATGGCATATGGCAGCGTCTCTGATACAATTGATTCACTGAAACAATTCAAACCTTCCCCTTCTATCTGGACATGCAATGCTTACAGATTTCTTAATAAAGCCTTTTCTTTAAAGCTTTCTCTAAAGGATTGTGTTTCCTGATATATATTACCAGGCAATTTTAACTGAAGTTAAATCTGATGTGTATGTTGCCATACTGCAGCTAAGCTCGCGAGTCTGGCCTCCCTCGCATCAGTATAAATGTGGCCTTTAATTGCTGTCCTCATTTCAAGTATTTGGGTGCACACTGCTTAGCGTGTAAGAAGAACAAAAAAGCACTGTCACATCCTATTGTGCGTGCAGAGGATGAGTTTAAGGTACTTGGCAAACAGCAGCCACATATTTGAGATCAGAATAGGCTTGTTCATTTAAAAATTTCAAAAGCCTATTCACAACACCAAGCTTTATGTGCCATGCTATTAAGTTCCCGAGCAATTGTCTGGGGCCAACCATGCAGTCTGACACAAGTTTTGAGAGTTTAAGGGCTACATGATTTGGCCCATGGCTCCTATGCATATTTTCTCTTTACAGTTTCCATAATGTGCACACGGTAGTTAGGATCTGAACCAGATTATTACAATAGATAGTCCTTTCAGAATGAGGCTGGAGCGAAGGAAAAACAGGACAGCTCCAAACTTTAAAGGCCAGGGCCCAACTTCTAGCCAAAAAATTGGGAAGGAGAGAAAATAACTGTTGCAGTATATGGGACCTTGCAGCATACGTTCTTGTCAGAGACTGCAAAGACCCAGTCCTCCCCACAGGAGCAGGAAGAAACTTTGTGGGAAAGTTCCTCCTTATGTGTCCACATGAGCCCTTCATCCACCTCCCTGCACAGGATCCAGCGCAGGATCCATGCACAATCCCAGACTGGCCACGTACAGCCGGTCCTGCCAGGGCTCCCACCAGGCTCACGGAGGCTGCAGGGAGGTCATGTACAGAGCGAGAAACTTTACGTTTCCTCCAGTTTATCTGCAGTGAAGAAGAGAGCGCTAGAGCACACCTGYCTTGGCTCTAAGCAATGGATGTCCTGGCAATGATTAATCTTTTTTCATTCCTCCCTTGGTGCATTTTTTTGCCCTTTGCTATACCTTGGCTCACTTTGTGTTGCTGSATGGAGGCAGTTTATCTCCACCAAACACCCTAAGACCCCATCTAAAATAACTAAGAGAGTAAACAAGCCTCTCTGCCAGCCGSCTGTGAGATTTCTAGGGGAAGTAAGGGGTGCCCTGCACAGAGAAGGGAAGCCACAGAGCACCTGCAGGCATAGGGCAAGGGAAAGAGAGTTAAACGGCAATATATTTAGCAAACAATCATGCAGCCAGAGGAGGGAAAAGGAAAA